TCAGTTCATTGTTGTTTTAAATGCTACATAGTATTCCATCATGTGACTGTACCATAATTTCTCCGTTTGTTCATTTGTTAATAAACCCTTGGGATGCTGCCATCTCCTTACATTTGTGAATAATGCAGCAATAATATATTGTTCTGGTGGTGTACCATCCAGTCAGATCTGACCCTCCAGTGGGCAGCAAGTTGCACTGGAGGAGATTGTCCATTTTACTTGCAAAGAACAGCTGGTGGGTTTGAACTGTGTTCCTCTAGGTTGCTGGAGCAGCTCATTACCAGACAGCCATCAGCGCTCCCTACCAATAAATATAGGCATACAGATATCTGTGCATGTCTCTGCTCTGATTTCCTTAGAACAGAGAAGCTGCATTGAATGGCATTTCTGTTTTCAACTTTTTGAGGAAACGCCCCCTTGTCTTATTCAGTTTGGCTCAATGGACTCAGAACTGACCCTCCGCTGAGTCTCAGAGGCTGTGCATTGCCGGGAGGAGTGTTCGAACCTCCAGAGGCATGGTCTTTGGGTTACAGTGCAATGTGCTCTGGACTCGGCCACCAGAGCTGATTTGTGTCCTGTTATACTATGAGGTGCCCTTGAACCGACTCGCAGCTGAGCCACCAGTACATTTTCAGAGGCTGTAAATTGCACAGGAGGAGATTGCCCATCTTTCTCCACACAACAGCTGGTGGGTTCATACCAGCCTGCCTTTGCATTGTGAGCACCACTCCTCACCCACCCACTACCAGAGTTCCTTCATGTTTCTGGTTTTATTTTGTTTATCATATGCCATCGAATCAGAACTGACGCCACAGCACAGCCTCCAGTGGGTTTTCAGGAGCTGTCAAGGGCGTGAGAGGAGACTGCCCACTTTTCTCCCATGGAGCAGTTAATAGATTTGAACCAGGAGCCTCTGAGTTGACAATGAGTCTTAAAAGGTTACCACTTTGCACACCCATATTTATCGAGGCTTTGTTCACAATAGCAAAGAGTTGGAAACAACCCAAGTGCCCATCAACAAATGAATGGATAGAGAAGCTGTGGTAGATTCACACAATGGAATACTATGCTGCATTGAAAAACAAGGAACTCATGAAATATTATTCAGAATGAGTGATCCTGGAGGACATTATGAACATTATGTTGAGTGAAGTATCTCAGTCACAAAAGGACAAATACTGCATGGAGCCACTGTTGTAAAACAGGACTGACTTCAAGGTTGGGGGGGAGACTGAGAAAGATGGGTTAAGTAATGTATACTACATTGAAACAGATAAGGGAGTAAACTATTTAAAAGGGTTATGTGATTAGATATTTTTATCATTATGGGAGTCCAGAGTGAAGGCTGCATAATGGAGTGGACCTGGGAGGAGGGAGTGTAAAACAATGAAAGAATTTTTTTTTTTTTTTCCTTTTTCCAATAGGGGAATGTACTGGTAGGAGGGTTGAGAGGGGAGAAAAGTACAACAATGAATGAATGGAAATCCAAAGTCTGTAAATTTTCATTGAAATTAATAATAAAAAAATTTAAAAAGCTTACTACTTATATTTCTTTTTTTAAATTTTTATTTTATTATTTTTTTGTGTGTGTACCGTCAAATCAGATCTGACTGGTACAGGAGGAGGTTGTCCCTCCTTCCCCAGCAAAGCATCTGGTGGATTCGAACCGTGTGCCTCTGGGATTGTAGTTGCAGCTCCTTGCCACTAGGCCACCAGAGCTCCCCTAACTACTTGTATTTCTAACCTCCCTCATAATCACCATCACTCTCTGGCTCACTTGGGGCCAGCTTGAGATGGAAGCAAAATCCACTGTGATCCTTCTAGAAAAACACTTAAGTTCTTAATGGTGCCTCTCTGCTAACAGAAAGGTCAGCTGCCAGGAACCACCTACCATTTCATGGAGTAAATAAGATTCCTGACAATCTGCTTCTGTAAACATTATACAACATTGGTGGCCCTACAGGACATTATGCTGAGTGAGATATCTCAGTCACAAAAGGACAAATACTGCCTAGCACCACTGTTATAAAGCAGGTCTGACATGATGATTGGGGAGGAAAATAGGATAATGAACATTGCACTGGAATAAATGAAGGAAAGACTGTTTAAAAGGAATCTATGATTAGGCATTATATGTATAATAATAGCCCAGAATAAGAGGTACAATGCAGAGAGGACTTGGGGGAGAGAGAAGGAGGGAGGTCATTGTGCAACAATGAATGAATATTTTTAAAAAGTGAACTGGGGGAGGAAAAAGGGAGGGAGGGTAAAAATGTGAAACAATGAATGAATGAAAATCTGACTTTTTGTAAACTTTCATTAGAATCACAACTAAAATTTAAAAAATTTATTTAAAAAAAATTACAGCTCCGTGTTACATCTACTCTGTCCCATAGCATTGGGTTGAGGTGAATTCTACTTGATGGCAACAAATACTTGTATTGGTTCTTGACTAAGAGGAGTAGCCCATCTAGTAAAGTTTCCTCCTCATTCTTTTTTATTTGAATGTAGTCATAGTTCTCCAGCCGCCGCCACAGAGCTCTTGGGACCCTGAGGGGAAAGCTGACGACTGCAGATCATTGTTGAACTAATGATCCGAGCCAGAAGCTGCCCGCTCTCCACCTTTTCGTCATGTGGAAAACAAATAAACAGCTATTTGTTTTACACACTCCAGAATAGACATTTGCAACTTCCAGCCAAATATATTCCTAACTGATGAGTTTTGGGGCTTGCAGCCAAATGCAATCCCACCTGGCGGAGAGACATCCAGCAGGCAGTCAATACACAATTGGCTGAATTCATGAATTAGGATGAGCACCTCAGCTGAGGATTAACATTTTGGGACTTACTCTTCTGGTGTGAAGAAACAGAAATATGCGTAAAAACTTTAAGACAGAAAGTCATGAGGAATTCATAAAGAAGTCATTGATAAGTAGATCTTTGTTGGTGGAGTATAAAGTATGAGGGAGACAGTGGTTGGCTAGAATCCTGAAGATGTAGAGAGCAGACAGATCCAAAGGTTCCTTGCATGCACAGAGAGTTCCAGAATGACTGAGAACTCTTTATGCTGTCCATGTTGGTGGTGATCTCCTTGGCTGGTGACAGCCAAGGCCACCATAGCAAGATGAACAAGAACAAGTAGATGCATTGCCCCGGATGGTCATTGTGTTGCGTGTCTGTTGCCACATGGCAAGTCATTCCAAAGCTAAGCGATATAATTACCCCGCACATTCTGTGGGTTCAGGATGCTGTGTCTGGCTCCTTTGGCTCCATGTCTTCCACAGGATTTCAGTCACGGTGTTTGGTTGGGATTGCACGCTCACCTGTGGGCTCCTCTGGGGAGGGATCGGCTTCCACACCCACTCAGGATTCTGTTCTTTGGGGCTTGTTGTGCTAAGTTGTTGCCTCCCTTCCTCCGTGGCAGTCGGTTGAGGTCTGCCTTAGTCCCTTGCCAGCTGGACCTCTCCACAGGACATCGCACAGGGTGTCAGGTGGCTTCCGGGGCGTGAGAAAACAAGAGAACAAAAGGGTCAAGGGCTCAGGTGCAAACCTGGAGTATGGAGAAGCACTCTGGCTGCACGTTGTCCGAGACCTTTCTATTTGTTCTTTAGACAGTCCATGGGATCTTTCACATTCTCCTCCAACACCTGAATTCAAGGGCATCAAATCTTCTGTCATCCTTAGCCATTGTCCGGCTTGCATATACATAGCAAGTAACTGAAAATATCATGGCCTGAATCAGATGCACCTCAGCCCTCAAACTGATGTCATTACTCTTCAGTAATTTGGAGAGGTCCCTGACTTTCCCCTATAGTACATCTGATCTCCTGAGCGCTGGTACTACATGTATTGATTATAGATCCAAGTAATGTGAAATCATTAACAGTCTCAATCCTTTCTCATTAATGAGTCATCACTGACTTGAGGACACCCAGCAACAACAGTGTTGTACTACCTTATCCAGGCTAACGTCTTTTCAATTACCTGCTACGCATCTGAAAGTTAGACAGTGGCTAAGGATAACAGAAAAAGAATCTGTGCCTTTGAATTGTGATGCTGGAGATGAGTACTTAATATCCCAAGGACTGCCAAGAGAACAAACAACTCTGTCCTGGAGAACGGGAAAGCAGGATGCTCTTTGGAGGCAAGGATAACAAAACTCCGTCTCATGTACATTGGTAGGTTGTAAGGAAGGAGCAATCCTCAGAGAAGGACATCGTGACTGGAAAGATGGATGATTCATGTAAGAGAGGAAGACCCTCGATGAGGTGGATTGACACAGTGACTGTAGCAATGGCTTCAGGTGTGTTGGAGTTGGTGATGATGGCCCAGGATAGAGCAGGGTTCAGATCCATTGTTCATAAAGTCGCTATGAGTCATAGTTGACTCAATGACACATAACATGAACAAAGAAGCATGTATGTTGTATATGTGGGGAAAACATAATACTGAGGTTAACATTTGATGAATCTGAATGGAGGGCATGCAGGAAATCACTATTAATTTTTCAATTTTATTTCAAAATGAAATATTTTTAAAGTTTTGTGTTTATTCTGGAACCTCCTACGTTCTATTTGGACTGTCAGAGCTGATTCATGAGAGTCTTTCAGAACTCATCTTGAATCTGCAGTGATCCAGTAGAGCCCAGGAGGGCACAGTGGTTAAGAGCAGGCTGTCCTCTGGAGCCACGTTGCATCTAGTGTCCCTAAACCCAGGGACTTACTGCTCAGGTTTGCTGGAAGGATTTGCTTGAAGAGTGTTTATACTTTCATATAGCTATTGGCATAGCTCCTGATCCGTGGTGAGTCTTCCATGTATTTGGACGGTCTGTATCAGTGTGTTCTTCATTCTTCTTGCAGTAGAGGAGGAGCAATGACCATTGTGTGCTTTTTGAAACTCTCATCTAGAAAAAGATATCAAAGTGGCAACTCCTTGACATGAGCTTTTGTCCCCATAAAGGCAAGGTGGCTGTTGCAGCGGGTGTGGATGTGCCTGACAAGATGAACAGCCGAATCCCTGTGGTCCTTCTGGCTTGTGGCTCCTTCAACCCCATCACCAATATGCACCTGCGCTTATTTGAGGTGGCCAGAGACCACCTGCACCAAACAGGTCAGTTCCACGATATGTGTTTTAAGTCCAGCAGAGAAACTCATGGGTTGGTCCTCCTGAGAATTTGCTGGGTCCTGTCATCCACATTGCTGAAACTGTTTGATATGTTCCTTCTTAATGTAAATAGTAGCATACATTTCCTCTATTGTATTCAGAGAGCTAATCCTCTCTTAGCCAAGTATAAAAGAAGCAGATACAACATGGGGATGGCTGAGTCTGACTGCTTCCGCTTTATACAGGGGAACTGTCCCCATCAATAACATCCATAGTACTACATAGATATTCACAGGGTCAGACATACCATCCCACGTGCTCCTAACCTATTTCTACCAATTACTGGGTTTAATGTTCATTGCAAATGGACTCATAATCTTTACTCAGACTTATGGGACTTATTAGGGAAATAGGTTGGGTAGTGGGGGAGGCAAGTATATCAGACGTAGAAGTCCAGGTTGAGTCCAGCAGTCAGATAAACAAGACATAATTCCTCAGTCAGTTCAGATAGATTCTCAGTCAACAAGTGAAAGTCTAGGTTCATTTCAGTAACACAAATAAACCTCTTGTTTCTTCAATTAGTCCGGCAAACTTGATCTCAGAGCAGTTAAAAGTCTTTTCATTCAATCATCGTGCAAGCAAAACCTTTAACTGTGGCTCCATCTCCAAGGTTCCTTTAGTATCATGTTGCCTCAATTTCTTCATAGTCTCTTCACAGCTGTGCCACAGTTTCTTTACCCTCTCTCTACCATTGTTTCTCGCAGTGTGGAAAGCATTCTCTTATATTGGTCCCACGGTTGTTGATGATTTGCAGGACCATGTGTCCAATGGATGCTAACATAACAGATAGATTTTCAAGATTTCTGACACCACACCATGTAACATGTGTACAAGTCATGTAGAGTTGAATGCTTCTGAGGGTCCTCCAACTTCGCATTATGCCTGGATGCTTAAATGACATTAGGCAATTTACCAAGCCTGTACTTCAAAGGACATTCTGGTGGCCTAGAGAATGAGGGGTCATGTTGTTATCC